AGGTGAAAGTCTTCTGCCTCCAAAGACCCGATCGGTAAACGTCGAGACAAAAGACAAATCAAAGAGAAGAGAGAATATTTTAGGAGACTTTGTTCCCGTTCACTTTTCTCCTCAGGATGTTAAAATGCTCTCGTGTGCTCTTGAATGATTCTAATCTGGTTTTTGTTGTAGGACTGTAGCAACCAAAAGATTATTGTTACTTTTTGTTCTTTTGTCCTCATACTTGATGTTTGCTTCATGGGCAGATGTTTAAGCCTCTTCAAGTAACTCTGAGATTCTTTAAAACAAAATGTTTGTCACTATTTTTGTCCCAGAACACTTGTCAGTGATAAAGTCGAAGCGTTGATGCATCATAGTGTCCTGCCTCTGACATCCGCTGTTATGTTCTGTCCTCCAAATGAGTTTAGAGATCAAACGATACAGAAAAGAGGATGATGTGTCGTCTCAGCTCTCAAACAGATTTTTTTTAATGTAAACTGAACTGTAAATACAAAAAATAAATAATATACTTTCTTCTTGGTAACACTTAGAACTTGTTTCTTGTGTTTGCTCCAAACTTCAAGTTTCTTACATTTATCAGTGATGACGAGCTGCATGATGAAGCATGAGGTCATTTTGATGGGAAATCCTGCAACTTACTGGAACTTCTTTTAGTTCAAGTGGTCTCTTTGGTCTCTAGTTGGTTCAGTTTCATCTTACATCTGTTTTATCTCGAAATCAGATTTAAAAAAAGAGGATGTGAGTCAGTCTGAACAGGTCACAGCGCCCAGTGAAAGCAGATTTTCCCCAAACTGCAGCTTAGATTTAAAATAAAAGCAGAAAACTTGACTTTGAAAATAATTAATTTAGTTGTTTGAAGTTTAAAAACAGATTGGATTAAGAAGTTTATTGTCACCTAGGAGCCTTAAATCCTTCTGTCTGCAATTCATTTTGTAAATAAACTTCACTTTAACATTAACCATGTCTATTGAACACTAATCTACTACTGTGCAAAAGTCTCACGCCGCCCCTTATGTTTAAAATATTTTGCCACCGATCAGCTAGACTGACTTATTAGTTTTTACCTTCCAGCCAAAGAAGGCTGACAGGATGTTACTGTCACTCCAGCAGACAGGCAGGTGGGTGACGTGGACGCTCAGGTTTATGAATGCAAACTCAAACAGGGAGTGGTTTGTTTTTGTTTTGTTTTTTTTTGTCCAAGCTTTTTATGGCTGATCTATGAATCAATAATAAAAAAGTGCATAACTCAAAGGATGACCTTTGAGTTATGCACTTGTGCAAGAATTTTAAAGATCCATTATCTCTGAGTACTTTGTTACCAGCAGGTTGTTCCAAAAACACCATTTTTCCCCAGTTTCTTCAGTTGAGTCTGAAAATCCCGTAGATAATACAGTTTGACAGGTAAAGTACTTTTTCACACCAACAATGTAAATCCCAAACAGCTATTAGCTGAAAACTTGGTGTATCTCAGCATGGTGTGCAACGTCTCCTTAAATTCTTTAGGAGACATTAGAGCAGCGGTCTCCAACCTTTTTTG